CATTAGCGAGTGGGAGACTTTATTTTCCCAATTTTCAAACAATGCAATATTTTGTGGTGATTTTAATTGTCACCATTCATTGTGGGGTTCCGTATATGATCTAAATAACAGATATTGTCTAGTACAAGCTCTTAATAATTCTAACTTAATTGTTTTGAATCTAAAACTTCTGATGTTATGGTCACTTCTGTATATCGTCCTCCAAGACATACCGTTAAAAAAGAACAATACCTAGATAGTCTAGAACCTAGATTTATCATTGGAGGCGACTTTAGTGCAAAACACCCATTGGGGCCGAAGACGAACAACAACTAAGGGTAAAAACCTAAAAGAAGAAATGACTTAAAATGTAAGTCGCATTCAACTGGCAAACCAACTTATTGGCCCATAGATAGAAACAAAATACCCGATCTAATAGACTTTTTTGTTGTACGACATATTTCAGCAAATTACATCCAAGTTGATGAGGCATGGGACATGAATTCAGATCATTCGTCCATTCTTCTCACTCTTAGTGACACCATTATCCAAAAGGAAAGCGCTCTTAGAAAAATAAATAGGAGAACAGACTGGCAATGCTTCAGACTGAACCTTGTAAATAAAATCGATCTTTCAGTTTCGTTAAGAACAAAAGCACAGCTAGATGAAGAAGTAGAACTGCTTGTGTCCAACATACAACAAGCAGCATGGGAAAATACGCCACCTACTGTGCGGCGAACAACAGGAAATAACTATCCTAAAGAAATAAGGGACCTAATCTCTGGAAAAAGAAAATTAAGGAGGAAATGGCATCAGACAAGAGCTCCATTAGATAAAAACAAACTTAACAACGCCACCCAACAGTTAAAAAGAGAGATAAAACGAATCAAAAATGAATCTATTTGTGAGTACCTTAGTTAGTTGACAAACGGTAAATCCACTGATTATTATTTTCTATGGAAAGCCACAAAACAATTAAAAAGGCCCACTGCGAAGAATGCTCCAATCAGGAATACAAATGGTCTAGAAAAAATATACTAAAAGTTAATGGATTCGCAGAAAACTTACAACTTCCAACCAAATGAAGAAAAAGAATTACCGAACTGGGCTCCTTTAGAGAAAGATAACTCAATTATCAGAACAACCTCTTCAAAGAAAATTGCAGAAGATATAAAAACAAATATTAATCCTAAGAAAGCTCCTGGCTTTGATTTAATTACTGGAGAAATCTTAAAACATATCCGAAGAAAGCCATTATTAACTTACACACCTGTTTAATGCCTCATTCAAACTAAAGTATATCCCTAGATTGTGGAAAGTAGCCAAAGTCATTATGATCCTCAAACCAGGAAAACCTCCGAACGAAGTTTCGTCATATAGACCATTACCTCTATTGGCTATAATATCGATACTATTTGAAAAAATACTAATAAAAAGACTGAAACCCATCATTGAAGAAATGAAACTTATTCCAGATTAACAGTTCGGCTTTGGAGAAAACCAATCAACTATAGATCAGGTTCTAAGAATCTTAAATGCGATTAAAAAGCATTAGAAAACAAAGAAGTCTATTCGGCCGTCTTCCTCGATGTTGCGCAGGCTTTTAATAAAGTATGTCATGATGGTTTAAAACATAAACTGAATGTGCTACTTCCACAGCCATACTCAGAGCTATTGGATTTATACATTTCAGATAAATTCTTTAGAGTAAAACAAGATGAAGCATACTCTGAATTGAAAGCAATTAAAGTAGAAGTACCAAAGGGAAGCGTACTGGAACCCACTTTGTATCTGTTATAGCTTTGTAACATACCCCAACTAGAAGAAGACACAATACCTTCATTTTCAGATGACACTGCCATCCTAGCGATAGGCAAAGATCATGAAGAGGCTGCAAATAAACCACAAACATCAGTTAATCAAATAAATAATTGGACCAAAAGATGGCACATTAAACTAAACGAAACCAAATCTGTTAATATTAATTTTACTAACACAAATGGTCAAAGAATACCAATTAACATAAAAAATGCTCAGGTCCCTTATGCTAACTCGGCAAAATATCTAGGTATTATATTAGATGTAAGACTTCGCTGGAAGGTCCATGTTAAAAAGAAAAGACAAGAGTAAGATATAAAATTCAAGAAAATGTACTGGTTATTTGGTGGCATTCCAGCCTATCTACATATAACAAAATTCTATCATATAAACAAGTTCTCAAACCAATTTGGACCTATGGCATTCAGCTCTGGGGTTGTGCCAGCTACAGTAATTTAATTATCTAATAATCTAGAGAATTCAGAGATTTCAGAACAAAGTATTAAGGAAATTTGTCAATGCTCCTTGATACATTAGAAACAGTGACCTTTATCAAGACCTTCAGATGGACACTGTTGACCAGACTATCACCAGATTCGCTAGGAGTCACGAACAACGGCTCCACCAACATGTGAACATTAAGGCGATCCAGCTTCTTAACAACACGAACCTGACAAGAAGACTAAAGAGAGAGAAACCTTTTGAGTTAGCCAAGTAATTGTGTTAATAACAAAGCAAAGCATTGTGCGGTTTAGTGTTACACGTTAGTTAAGTGTAATTAAGTTATCAGACCCTAAGGGATACTAGCGAGTAGAACTTTAGTTTTTAGGATTCTAACCCTAGTTAGGTTATAATAAAATTACTTACTACTTTACTGTTGAACAGATTGTAATATTAATAAACGACCAATTTAAAATGTTTTTTTACAAAAAAAATTATTCTGAACGATGGTTCACCTACAAAAATAAGCAGACCAAACAAAAATAAATCTGCAGTTGATATCTTTATTGTATCTCCAAACCGTATTGGTTAAATAAATTGGGGTGCAACCAAAGACCCCATGGTATCGGATTATTTTCCAATCTTTATGTTTCTTAACTCTAACTTTACACCTCAAGAGGTTACTCCATACACTAATGGAAAAAACGCAGACTGGTCATTGTTTTCTAAGTTAATAGATAACCAGTTAACAAACAAAAATAGTGAACAAATATCCTTTAAAAAAATTATTAAAATTCTTAGTAATAGTGCCAATAGTTCCATAACAACAAAAAAATCCAGTAGTCATGGAAACTCACAAGCCTATATGGTGGGATAAAGAATGTTCTGAAATGATTTTAAAATTGAAGTTGGCTTTTTATCAATATATTAATAGATCTAATTAGAATAACTACTTAAATTTAAACTAAAAGTAAAAATAGTTGGAGAGATGTTTTTGAACAACTTGAATAAAAACACGCCCTTGACAAAAATTTGGAATTTCGTTAACAAAATAAAGAATAAAAAATACTATAATTCAAATCCTAATCTTACCGAAGAAATGATTGAAAAATTATTAAACCATTTCGCACCTACTACAGCAATCAACCTTCATCACACAAATGGTCCTGAAGATAATATTATTAATAATTTTCCTAATAATAAGTTTATCATAACAGAGCTGGAAATTGCATCAGAATATTATCGAAGCACTGCACCGGTGAATCTGAAAATGAACTTAAAGAAATTATCATAACCCTTATATTAAAACCGAACAAAGATTAACGTCTTATAACATCATATAGATCCATTTTACTTATGTCTTGCATAACCAAAACATACGAAAGGTTAATTAAAGCTGGATTACAATGGTTTTTAAAATATTTTTCAAAATTACCAACCACATAATACGGTTTACGCCGCGGGTGTGGAATCTCTGAAGCTCTCTCTCATTTAGTAACAGTCATAAATCGTCGCCTTAGAGCAGAACTAACTTAACTGCAAAAATGGTTTTTTTCAGGAATGGCATTTTTTTGTTTTCTCATCAACCACTTTAATTTTTGGTAAGTAACTAGGTATGTTGGCGTTTTAAAATATGACCAATTCACCAGTATAGCTTAAACAGTGTATTTTGATAGTTTTTATCTAAAAATTGCAGTTAGCACATTTTTAATCTAAGTAAACTGTAGATAGTATAGTTCTGCGTTGAAGTAATAGTACTTAGATTCTGTGTGAATTATTAATATTGCAGTTAGGTTACTTCTATTCCGACTTCTACCTAAGAAGTTTCTAGTATAGATAGAATAAAACAAGTATATAGGATAAAAATATATTATATTTTATCAAAAGTATCAAACTATGCGTACAAAAGAAAAAACATTTGGTACTTAACTGAAAATGAAAAACAAATACGGGAAAAACAAAAAAAAAATTTTCAAATAAAAAACTATTCACTAAATAGTATCTAAATACCTAATTACTAAAATCACTGAAGTAAAATATTTATTAACAGTTAAATGTTCATTATTTTATTCGGAATCCGAGTTTTGCACTGCTCTTAATGTATACGGTAAATTTTTGAAAATATCATGATACTGCGGCAATATTACTTTTTTGTTGCACAAAAAACTAAGATGGTCGTACTTTTTCTTTGGTATAGGAACTGCGCTTGAGTAGCATTTCTTCAGTTCAATGTTATCAAAGGAAAGTTCTAATTTTTTCCTACCTTTTTGTATTAAATTTATTTGTTTAAAGTCTAGCTATTCTTGAAAAAAATTATGTGTGGGAATGCACGATCCTGATCTTATTTAAATAGACCTTGTTCCTTTCCTCATCCTTTTCCCAGTTAATAGGCACATTCTTGCAAATGTTTTAGGTCGAATATGTCGTCTTGGCTGATTTCGACCACTTTATAGGGCTGACGTCTCTTAGCTGTACGCACCATTGTATACCACTGTTCTGGTGTGTAAATCGGTACATGCTTTGCCGCTTTCTCTATGACACTGTGCATGGAGTCTCCCTCCATTTGTGTGTGCCCACGTTCCAAAAAAGTGTGACGTATTGATATTTTACATTTCTGGGCAAGATAATTATATAGAGTGAAAAGATACTTATTGCGATTCTGTTCTGAGCAGTTATCTGAAAAAAGGAAAATTCCTTAATACCCTTTTCTAAATGTTCTTTAATAAAAAGGATAACTTCTGAAGATCCTCGTCTGGCCAGACCTTCATGCCACATGTAGCATGTTCCATCGTCAGTTCCCAGATTAAAAATTGAAAAGTTGTAAGTTTGTCGTTTAAGTTTATAATAGGCTAGTGCAACGTCTGATTTTGGAACTGGAAGTGCTTTTTGAAGATCAAAAGTAGCTGCTAAAAAGTGTGGGTTTTCCAAAGCTTTCTTTTTGTCTAAGTCTTTTATTTTCCTTGCTTTAGTTCTGTTTTCCCTATGCAAAAAATATTCTTCTTCCAGTTTTTCTTTTTCCTCAGTTGTCGAAATATCATAGGCGTAGCAAATGTCGCACAAGTCCTTCTTAGGCTTGACAAAAGATATGTTGAATTCTTCTGAAAAAATTCTCCTATACATACTTTCCGTAGCTATTTTTTTAATATTGTTATCTTTGCAGTGCTCTTCATATAAGGAATACATTTTTGATACATTAAGGCTAGGAGGTAAATATAAACGTGAAGTATTTGTCCGACAGTAATGACTTTCAATAAACTCGAAAGAATTAATATGGTCTCGTATGTTTTGCTTCACATCTTCCTCAATCAGCGAATTCTTACAAACCTTTCCTCTTAGATCTTTGTTTACGGTTTCATGGACTCCTGTTTTCTTTATAACTGCTTTTACAACTTGTGAGCTTATAGAAAGTGTGTTCAAGAAAAATTGCTTGCAAACTGAAGTTTTTGCTAGGTTTATAGTAAAGAAATAATAATTGGAGTAGGCACGTCTGCTTGAATTTTCTTTTCCTTTATCACCACTATCGCTTTCTGATCCATTTTTTTCTTTTTTCGTAGTATTTCTTCCCTTATTTCTCACTTCTATGTGTCGAGCTATAAAATCCATTTGCCTGTTTACATCGGCCATAAACCAATATTCATCAAATATTTGTTTTCGCTGATCTTGGTTAATTTTCTGTGTGCATTTTTTTGAAACTCTCAGGACAAGGATCCTTTATTTTTCTTGCGGCCTCATCCTTACCTCTCCAATTTGTATACTTTTTCCCTGAATTTCTTAGAGTCCTGATTTTATTTCTTCTAATATCAAAAAAATGCTCCACCATCTTTATAACCTCTAATATTTAATTTTGTTTGGGTTAAAGGTCATTCTGGAATTGTAGGTATCAATAAAGTTGATATTTTGGCAAAAGAAGCGACAAATCTTTACAATATAGTAGATAAAATAATTATATGGATATAATAAATATTGATAAAAAAGAAATCCGTAAAACTTGGAACCTAAAATGGAGTGAATTTGTGCTTACCCATAAAAATTCCACATATACGCGAGTTTAATGTAAGTAGATGTTACTTGGTTATCATCACAAGATTAAAATTAAACCATGGAAAATTTCCGGCTCACTTATATCGAATAGGCATTGTGAATACAAGTCTATGCTCCTGTCATAATCATATTTTTTTCGCCTGCTCAAATCATCAGCAACATTGTTCCGATCTAATCCTAGAACTACGTAACAAAAACATACACTATCCCATACATTTAACTGATCTCTTAAGTACTCAAAATAAAATCATATTTGATTTAATAATAAATTTTATACGAATCATACAATTAGATATGATATTAATTTAAATTATTTCAAATTTTCTTTATTTCAATTTCGGTATTTTAATACTTATCTGTGGTAAATGGATATAATTACCAAAGCCAAAAGATTAAGGGAAAAAAATTAATCCAAACAGGTAAATTAATTATATTCAACCTATGCTCCTTGAAAAATATTTTATCCTTTTAATAAATAATCTGACTTCTCTTAGAACTTTTAATGACCCTCTTACATCACTGGTGAAGCGTATAATAAAAAAATCCTTAAAGAAAACCTCCCTGACCTACGTAGTTATCATATTTTCCAAGAGCGAAAAATTCGTTGTGAAAAAAATTGATAGTCTATTTAACCTCTCTAGTGACCCCTGTCTTCACGGTAACACTATCCACTTCTATCGGTGGTTCCGTTATTTACACATGGTAGGTATAAGACGATGATAATGATAAACATAGAGCAACAAATCATTTTATATTCATTATCTTAGCGTTTGATTTATCGACAGTTTGGCTGCCAATGGAATGGAGAAAGAAGCATGCGAAGACGCCAACGGCATGGGCGTAGACGAAAGAGTGAAACAAGACACTTTCTCCTAATTTTTGAATAAGTTTTTCTATTTCGCAACCCAAGTGGTTAGTATTACCTAACAACGAACAACTACTAGACTAATTATGTTTACAAAATTGAATTTCAGTCATTCACGGTTTCATCCACGTAGGTGCTTAATTTTCAAATTATTATAAGAAAATATGGGAATGTCTTATTACATGGATTGTTTATGCTTACAATTCGGTTTTGATAAAACGCAAGGCCTTGCACACCAAAGGTTTTTAAAATTACAATAGAGAAGTACATTTGCAATAATGCCAGTTATTTTTAGTTTAATGTATGTTTTCTCGTTGTATCTATTACTTTAGTAATAGAAAGTAGTCCCTCTCTTCCAAATACACTTCCCCATAAATTAACGCATTATCAAAAAATAACAAAAAAGTTTAAAGTAAATAATTGTCAAAACCACTTGTCTGATTTGGACAATTTTTTTTTAATAACAGGTTGTCTTTTCTAGAATGTGGATGTGCCAACTGTGTATGCATAAAATCCTCTTTTTAGTAATATAGGGTATAGCAATTATAGCGTGATTTTTTCATAAAAGATGTAACACTTTGTAGAGTAAAACAGTTACATTATCAAGTTAAAATTTGATATCAAAATTTTGCTTTATCTTTGCTTAACAATTTCTTTTTATTTCCTCCATTATTTTTCCTATTGCACGAGAAACTCAAAATGACTTTATTCATTTTCATTAGCACTAAAGTAGGTAGTATGCTATGGAAAAACAGATGAGTATTGTCAGTATTAGTCGATACGCCATTTTTTGCAAAAAAAAATATCAATAAATATGCTATGAAATCTTACTCGCGAAGAATGTTTGAAGAGGGTTGAAGTTACCGAAGAATTGGTAAATGATTTGACGTTACAAGTATTACGAGTTCCTACTAAATTCCATCTAAATATTATTACTAGTTCATACTTAAATTTTGGCCTACAAATATTACTGAAAATAAATTAAATAATAAAAATTCTGGCTATCTCTTGCCTATGAAGTCAACTCGTAATCACCTCAACTAGCTCAGTAGGGGTGGTTCTACAAATTTATAACGCGCCAGAGATTTAATATGGCCAACTTAAATCACAAAATCACTCGTTGTTGAGAGAACAGATAACACAAAATTCTATGATAAAATTAATCTTCTTAGTTCCAAGAAATTACTAATTATGTAAATAAATCAATTTATTACAAGTACTTTAATGAAGAATGTTTACCCAAGCATCTGGAGTCAGTGGAGAATCAGCAATTTAATAATAATTGTAATTAGCTCACCTTATATAGTCCAGTAACCAACTGGACATCACAGGATCCTAGATTTGAGAAGAAACGAAACTCAGGATATTGTTACTGGGCTTTATTACAATAATAGAAGTATGCAGCTTACAATTTTAACCTTCAGGGTTAAATAAGCCCACCATTTGTTCGAACAAAAGGAGGACAGCATATAATAGGGTACAAGTATCTAAAAATAAATCAAATTAATACATGTTACATAACTTGAAATAAATGAGAGGTTTGAGTGTCACAGCCAGTATTCTGGGCTGTTAAAAGTAAATTGTATTAGATAAACATATGGTATATAAGACATAAAACCTGTGAGAGTCAATCCTACAAGATCCGCTAAACTTAAACTTATTTCCTAAACACAAAATATTCTTTTTATAGATAAATAAACCACCCAACAATGAAAAGTACCCAATAACAATATTTATAAATATTCAAAATAATTGAAACATCAGTTGTATTAATTAAATCCTGTTGGTTGCTTAAATGCCCAGATAATGTCAGAAACTCCTCCTGTTTTCTCAACACTAATCTAAATTTATCGTTCTAACTTCCTTTTTAACCTCCCGCTTTATTTCTATTCACATATTTTCTTGCAAGGGGTACATTTCAGTAAGTAATTTTTTCCCACAAGAAACCAACGAGCATGTTTAAAGATTAGGTTAGATTGTGTGATATTCACATCCGTCATTTTCTTCTTTTCTTCTTTTATTCTTCAGTTGCTTCACAACAGTTAACCCAGTCATTTCTTCTTCTTTCTTCTTCCTACAACATCACATACTCTTGGTGATTGGTTCATGGCCCAAATCTTATATAATAAATAATAAATATTTCTTCACTCATGGTTTACATCTTATTACCTATACCATGTCATGGGTTTACCCAAGATTTTTTTGTTAATACTTGCCACCACCTGTAGAGGCCTTAACTTGACAGGTCTCCTTTCAAAAATGTTAGTTTTTTGAAAAAACAACAAGGTTGTTTAAAATAAGCCTGATAAAAAGATTAAAAGATATTTTAATCTGTTTAATGTATGTGATTTGTTTTGTATGGTCTTGAATATTTTAAATTTTTACTATTTCAATTGACTAATATTTGTTTTTTCAAATATTTTTAACTTTTTATTACTTGTAAACTTTGTTCATTTTACAATTTATTTCACCCCACATTTGATGAAACTTGTTTTGTAGTATTCCCTAGTGGATGGAGAGTATGGTGAGTTTTCTCTTTTTTACTATTTTATATATCGTTTGCTCCAAGTTAACACACCTTACACCACATATTCTCCTTTCCACTAGGCGAGCCTGAAGATGAAGTGATGACACTTTGAAACAGGTCGCACTCAATGTTTTGTTAAATAATTAAACATTGACTTTCCTTGTGAGATATAAAGAACTTTTTCTCCCCCTTCACCTTAAAAAATATACATTATTGAATAAAAGGAACAACCCTTACAAAAAGTGGCTGTATGTACTGATCGGACCAGAACAGCTAAAACGAAGAGGAACGGGACTAACCGAACAATTCCGAACAGACATCAATCGTACCAAACAGTACAGCACAGGACAATGCCTAGAGCCAATTGATTTGACAATTAATTTGAAAACTGGTAATAATTCAAACATATAACTACCAAAAATAAATAAACCAATTAATTATCGGATTTATTATAAATTATACGTATTATAATAATGTAATTTGGATTAGAATAATATAAAATGAAATGTTATAGGTAAAGAGATGCCCTAATTAATCCTAAATAAGAATAATATTTTATACGAGGGATAGTACAAAACTATTAACTAAATTTAATGGTAAATAATACTTAAAAATAAAAACTGAGTGTAACTCTCGAATAATATTATACACGAGGTATGGTTCAAAACTATTAACTAAATTTAATAGTAAATAATACTTAAAAATAAAAACGGAGTGTAACACAAGCGTTTCACGAGTTATACAAAGATATAGAGCGGCTTAAAATCGTGGCCGTAGGCCAGGACAAGGAAGAAACCGAGTAACTACTCCGATTCAGGATCGATTTTTAAGACTGTCACTTAAGACATTGTTTTATAACAGCTCCGACCCTTTAGACCCAGCTTCGCGATGCCAATGGTTCAGAAGTTTGTACAGAAACTGTTCGTCAGTGACTAAGGGGACATAATTTAAGGCCTAGAATAGCTGCTCGAGGTCCAGCTCTAACTAGATTTAATCGCAGAGCGGGGCTAAATTTTACAAGGGAGCATCGTAGCTGGTTAGAGGCTGAATAACAAGTATTATTTTCTAATAAGTCTCGATTTTGTTTGTAAAACAATGACAAGCGTATGCGCATCTATCGACATCCCAATAAACGGTATGCTCAGTGTAATTTCTCAAGTACAACACTAATTGGAGGAGGATCTCTGATGG